ATAAGACCAATTAAATAAATTACAATGACCTGATTTACCAGCTACGCATGTACATTTACCATGTATCACTTCCCCTGTAATTAAATGTAAACAAAGAAATAATTAATGTGGCTCCTTGGATTTACTATAACTAGGACTACACTTAGCTTTAAACAAAAAATGAAGTCCAGAAATAATTGTTACAATATCAAATAAATATTTTTCTTGATTAAAAATGTTCCCACGCTGAAAAGCTGTTTGTTCTGCTTGGTCTTTTTTTTTCTTTATGCAAGGTCTTACCCCCAGTGGCAACTTTTACATCCATCTGTGCACGAGAGAAGAGGGGTAGGTTATCAAGGGATGTACCCCATCCAGACTGAGGGTAAGAAACTGCAGCAGTCGTTGAGGTTGACGTAGATAGATATTCAGTTTGTCCAATTTTCTGCTTGGTGTACACATTATTTGTGTCTGGATCCACAATCTTTTTGTCCAATTTATTTACAATGAAGTGATTTACCCTGTTAAAAAAATCAAACAGTTTAATTGTTTAATGCTTTGTTTCTTGGAACAGAGATGTAAGGTCTTTTTAGGAAGACATTAAATTTTAAAAATGCATTTTGTCCTAAAGACAACTTATGGCTTTAATACTGGATATATTATATTTAATAGATTATGAAATAATAGTACAGATGTGTGCAATACGACTATTTAGCAAAAACAATGCAGGTAAGAACACCACATCCTACAAATTATAAAAAATTCCAGAACTTATCGAGCAATAAGCTCTGCTTTTGTCATATTCTGTTTTGGTCGGTCCCCACGACACAGCAACCAAAACCTCAATTCATCATTGCAAAGCCTTGCAGGGTTTCTACCATTCAATGACGCACCAGCAATATCTGATTCTGACAGGTCTGAGTCCATATTTTTTAATGGATCTACAAGCATAAAATAAAATTTTATACACAACCTTTTCTGAGTTTTGAATGGAAGCTCTGAAAATATAACTATAGTGTCTTCATTTACACATTTTTGAAAAATATTAATATTTCCGTCAGTACCGATCACGTCCATACATCACACGTGAACGTTCATCGCGTATACTTTTGCCAACTTGCGCCGCCGGGCGTCAATATTACAAATTATAGAGGCGGTGTCATAAAACAAGAAACAACCAATTTATCAAGCAATTTCTACAATTAAATTCCGTAGATTACAGCTCCCTGACTACACCATGGACGTACGTCCATGACTACACACAGTTATGTCTGACATTTACAGCATACAGCTGATTTCCCGCTTCGTCACTCCACGGAAACAATGACTATTGCCTGGTAATAAGTTGTAATTGCACACACACTCGGTAAAACAAATGAAACAAAAAAAAAAATACATAAGCAAAACGAAAGAAATCAATTTCTTACCATTAAAACCTCAAGGAGTCCGTCATGAAGCTGTCATTTAGAAAATCCCGGGCAACCCTGGTTGCTATACACACTAGCCTCGATTTCGCAAAATAGCACGTGACTGGATTTGCACCCTCTTTATGAAAACGGTGTATGAAACGAAGTGATAGCCGCCTAACTTTTTAATGTCGCGATATTGATGCGATGCTGAAGCCATAACAATGCCATAATGATGTGATGCTGAAGTGAAGGTGAAGGTGAAGCTGAAGTGAAGCCAAAGCTTTGGCGAGAACTGTACTCTATTGTTCAAACTTAGTAGATACATTGAACATAATGAACCATAATGTTTTTCAGATTGGATTCAAAATTACCAAATGGCAGAAATGTTGTAATACATGCTGTTCTAGAGCCATGTCTCTGACATGTGCCTTGACTAATTGCAATCTTACCTTACAACTACATTTACATAATTTCACTTTTATTAGCTCCGCTGTCGACTTTGTCGAGCGGAGCTTATCATATGAGTGATTGTCCGG